TGGGCTTTTAGCTTCATTGACACCCGTTACCGTAGGATATTAGGTATGATACTATGTATGCGGATTAGAGAGTTTGCAAAGCGTCACCTAGGTGGTATTAATATAAGTTAGCAACAAGGCTTAGCCACCTGGTTATTTAGTCCCACCTGGCTGAGGTGTAGAGACCCGAAAATTGGACCTGGAATTGAGAGCCACAAATACCCGCTTCAACAACGCTTTTATGCCATGATTCAGGTATGATTTTGTGGCCATTGTTCTGATGGAAAATCCTGATCAGAACAGTTTGAAGAATGTTAAGAGTTGGCTGTTGTATTGGCTTCTTGCACGGATGGAGTTTAAGAAACTCAACAATTGTTGGGGGTCTGATGGGCTGTTGATGGGGTGACAACTCCGAGCAGCGCTGTTAATAACTCCCACCAAGGTCTGTCTGACGGATTTTCTGTAGGTTGGTACAGGTTTCCTGGTTCAGGCTTCACGGCAATCAACTTCGGGCCCAGGGAAATGGTGTTCATGGTTTAATTTGTCCGAGCTAGTTTGCGGTCGGGGATGCTCACCGAGGATGATAATGTACTCAGGATACATTTTTTCGGGCTCGTTGGTTTCAGTTTTATTTCCAGACCGGTTAGCTTTATATAGATATTCATCTCGTATTCTATCCCAAGCTAGAATTTTCATCAACCTTCTATTTCACTGTCCTTATATGCCACACTCCGCTTAGAGTCTATTGTGGTCGTACTTTCACCGCTTAATAGACCATTGCTTTCTCCTGGCGTAGCTAGACACGTGCCGTCATATCACAAGAGCAAGTGCTTTCTTCTTACCTTTCCTACCAGAGGCTAAGGAAATGTTGAAGTCAGAACCAGCACTTAAACCCAGTTCCGACAATACCCCGTTACCAAACTCCAAGACCACATACAGTTTGATCCAATGTATAAACTTAGCCACTCAGTAATGTGATCTTCAAGTACTCTCTTCCCTTTGTTCCCGAGATTCAGCTGCTTTAAACCCATTGGCCCGTTTGCTACCCAATTGGTACATCTTCAGTACTGGTCCCTGGAATGTCTCTCAACATTTTTAGCATGACCGCAACCCATACCTCAACGCCATGAAATTAGTTTACTCAGTTCCAAATTTTAGAGCATCATGCTTGATGGCTTGAAGCCATATCGCTCAGTGCATGTCTGCACTATCCACCTTCTTAATTTATCTTTCAAGTTCGCCATCTCAGGCCGACATCCGAGCCCAATTTGGGCTAGAGAAGTATGCTACCGCAACCCATGCTGGTGTGGACTGATATGACACATATGGCTGAACGGCGGAGACTGCTCTTATTTCCGTAATTTAAACTGAATCGTTCGCATCGTGTGCGAAGGAAGCTTTGGTTTCTGACCGGCATAGATTTCTCCAATTCCGTTTTTGTTGCTCTTATCTGGCACGATCCTTTTTCCTTCCCATGCAATCCCATCTCCGCTTTATACTTCTGAACAACCTCCATATCCCTTGTCTAACTCATTCCCCAAGCTTCTCCATAATGAAAATCACTGGTACTCCAAGTACCTACCGTGTTCCCCTAGGATGATTGAATGAACCGGAGACTTTTCCGGAGGTCTCGAAGAATTTGTAATGCTTAGGAATGAGTTGATAAGCATGATGGAATGTTCTGGAGGTTATTTCATGGGAATGTATTTTGGATTGATATGGTAGGACAAGGGAATGGAAGACACGAGGGAGAAGCATGGATGGTGGTTGGTTACAGAAAGAGGGGTAGACCGAAGCTGGAAGAATCTTGGAGAACGAACAGAGGAGTGGGGTAGAACGAGAAAGAGGGGTATGACAAGGATGAGGGAGAATGGTCGGGAAGAAAATGGGCATCCCACAAGTGTATATAAAGCCGGGCGTTCTTTGGACAAGAAGAGTAAGAAATGCGAGCATAGAAAAGGCGGTCATCGGAAAGTCAGAATCGAGTTACAACCCCCAGTTAAACATATTGAAATCGGTCTTGACAAATGTGATTTTTTCTGCGCTTTGGAATTTGTCTTTTGATTCGTGCAGGATCCTCTGTTGTTTCGATAATGTCCGTCCTTATTTTTCTATCTTCCTGGGCAAACCTGCACTCTTATATACCCTTGAGAAAATGCCTCCTTTCTTCCGTTCTCCTCCCCTGCTTCCAATTTCCGATCAACGCCAGTCTTGTGATCAACAGAACCCCGCTTTTCCTCCCTTTTCTTTCCTTCTCTTATGTTCTTTCTGTTTCCTATTTATCCTGTCTTCTGACCAATCACCTATCCTTCATTGACCACATGCTATATCCTATTTCCTTTTTCCTAGCCACCCGTCTCCTGCATTTATGCAATACATGCTCTAGAATCTTCTATCTCTCTTACAAACCATCATATCAGCATGACAAATGAAATAACAATAGTCTAGTACACTGCGGTCCTCTCGCCGGTATTCAATTGCGGAACTTGTAGTGATACTGCAGGTCTGGTGATCAATTGGAGTGCCGGTGATTTTCAACAAAACAGTGGGGAGCTCCCAGTACGCAGAGGTGACGACGATCGATCACGATTTACAAAACTCCAGATTTCTCTTTACCCCACTTTTTTCAACCACTCTTGTCACCTCCTTTCAGACTCGTGCTATATAACCCTTCTCTGGATAAACATCCTATATGATACGAGGACATCAATGAACCTCCCGAACCTTCCATCTTACTTAGAATCAGAAATTGCATAAGCATTACAAAAATATGAAATCGAGCTCCGAAGACTCCCGGCATACCCGTAATCTATGGGGGCAATTTAGGCTGTGAAGTGGAGTACCCATGATTCACAATACTGATTATCCTTCCTCGAGATTCTCCCCTTAGGTGTGTTTGGTGCACTTTAAAACGTACGTGAGGGATTCTCATTTTTCAATCTATTGCATTCTGTGGCTTGGTCATTTAAGGGTTTTGGAGGAGCCGTCGAGATAGAGGAAGCGCTAGGGCCGGTGTAGCGGTTTTTCTTCATATTTATTGCTGCTCAGTAGAGGGAGGTATAATTGTTTGAAATATGTATTTCGGGGGAGAAAATAAAAAATGTGTTGCCTTTGTGTGATGCTAAGTAAATTATAGTGGTACCAATTATATTCTTGATAATATTGATGGGATGATGGTACAGTGGGGAGCAGGCAGCAATCCCTTCGTTGTGGTCTCTGCGGGGGCCCTGCCTTCCCCTATCGTGCTCTCCCCTTGCCCAATCTGGTATGATAGATTCTGGGAGTGGCGGGGCCTGGTTTGGTAATTAACCTAATGTATTGTGTGCGTTTGCGGAGATACATTTTCATACATATCATTCCTTTCCTCTCACAGCGTTGTGTACAGAAATTGGAATTTGTGTAGAGGAGGTTACTGAGGCGGGTTGATCAAGGGTACTTTGAATTATGCTTCACTCATATACCTATCATTATGGTTGGTTTGGGTAAGAAATTGAAAAGGCAAACAAAGTTATGGTCATACCACTATTACAGGATCTCGATATCGGTTAAGGCCTGTTAAAGCAAGTTTCCTATACTGCTGTATCATATGATTTATCCTCCCTTACATTCACCAATACCCTAAAGCTCTACGCAGCGTTTTGGCACTGGAATACCTAACAAGACATTAGCACTTATGTCGGGAAATCCCTCACCACCAACATACCGGAGTCCATATAGAGTGACATGACTATAGTGCAGAGAGCATCACCCGGATCTCGATCCCAATGATGCATGCACCAGACAATATTGTACCCCTTCTCAACAATCTCGGCCCCCGAAATATTGCTGCGAACGAATTGGTTACGGATGCGGGCTCCCCGGACTGGGCCGAAGTGTGGAAAAAAGCTGATTTGATCGAGCCATAGGACGATATCATATGGTGTGAACTCTAGAACCTGCTGGTATGACACGGGGACTCGGTCGCGCCCGGGGGAGAGATTCAAAGTTGCATTCCGGTAATGGCCAGCTCCCGAGGACTCACTAATTCTGAGCATGACCCTTCCACCTATTCCACCATATGGCGCTACCACACATTGGAACTCAAAACCAATTTCCAATAGGGTGGTCCCAGTTCTGAGGCAAGCCTCTGTATGAGCACTGCTAGGTCCTCCGATGCTACCCTGAAGAGTAATGTCAATAGTACTTCTGGGTCTACTGCCAACTCCGGGTACGCGACCTGTGGAGTAGGCACACTGGTTAAATAGGAAACATGAGAGCGGAATTGATGGTCCTTACGAGCTGGCATGGTTATCTTGAGTGTTTTCAGTTGTATTGAGAGGATACGGCCACAGCTGAGGGCTCGAGGAACATATTTCCAAGGGGTTCAGAAGGGTTGTGGGTTGTGGGGGAGGTGAACCTCGGGTGGCGCTCGCGCTGCTCTGCCGAGTTTTGGTTTCCCATGTGTGTGAGTGAGGACGAGTCACAGTTGTTAACAATGGGAGAATAGTGGGGGCTGGTATCTGGCATGTGACAACTGAAATACTTGAAGCATGGTGAATACTGTATCTTATGGCTATATATTCCCGAAATTCCATTCGGCAGTCCTGTTCTAATATTAGAGGCTTTCTGGGGTCCTGTTTGGGATGTGAACCGGAAATTTCAAATTAGCTAAGACAGAGATACTATTCCCTTAGCGGTATAGCCTAGAGGCAGGGGTGGCCTGTTTTCTGATTTTTTCTCCGTTGGGAGAAGTCCATGAGATTCTTAAGAGCCCAGACCCATTTTTGATCAAATTGGAGTAGCAGCCGATGGGATAATCCTAGCGGCATGATATGGGGGAGAATGTGTGTTGTTGATCATATCGTTATGAGTTGCTGGTTGGAGGCCAAGCGCAATGAAAAAACTGGAAGAAAATTAAAGTTTATATTTTGTAGTATCATTGTGACCTACTTCCCGTGATTTTCCCAGTATACTCAGGCTCGGTGTGAGAAAAAATGAGCTTGGACTAGCAAGAATCTGGAAGCTTTTGACATTTATAGTGAGAGTGATGAGAGCATACAGTGCTTGCGGTGAGCGGGGCCGACCAAAGGCTAGCCTGGCCCATGGTGACCAATACCTATAACCAATAGTTTCGGAACCCTACCGTATTCTTGAGCAGTAAAGAAAGATTCCCGAATCCTAGAATGATGCACTGGCAATAAACCTCTCTAGTGAGTGCTTTCTCGTGAGTCTAGTAACTCATATAATAATATTTTTACTATCCTCTTTTAGCTTGCAACTTTTCAAGTAAAATACAGAGTAGAATTTCCGATAAGCCCTACTTTCTCTGAGATTTTTTTTCCCTCAGGGCTATAAACCTATTGGAGGGTGCAAAAGCTGGCGCAGCCGTGGGCAACCCAAAGTCTGTAGGCTTTTGAAAACTAATGCCCGGACAGGCCCAGCCCATAGGCTTTTCACAGGCCAAGGGCTAGCCCAGCCCACAGCAAGCACTGAGAGCATATAATGAAGGAATTACATATACTCAGGCTCGTATATATCACTGTTGACTTTAAGGAAAACATAACGAGGACCTGTATAAACAATCACTGAGCCTCAAATTCTCGAACTATATAATAGCACGAGCTCAAAGTGAAATAATTTCTTTTGTATATTATATACTACATTATTAATACTCCATAATCCATCACTGGTAGGCTTTGCAATTCGGTTACATGGTTGCTGGATCGTCATGTGCTACAGAATTTATACTTTATTCTTTAAGGATGAGCACACTCCAATTTTGTGCCTTTCTGAGAGCGAAACTGGTGTGAGAGTTCCATTTTGACAGGTCATTTGTCTGTGTCAGTGTCATTGAGAGATTTTATATTACCTGAATTAGATGAGGATAGAACCTTTTCAAGATAATTTTTGAACTGGTTAAGGTAGATGTAGTAAATACAGTCAATATTGGAATGGAAGAAAGGGCTGTAGAACACAAGACTCTTGTAATATCCTGCCTGTGCCGCAATTCTCCATACGCCTTTAACTGCAATTAAGAATCAATTTCTACAATAATTCTTTTTTCTACTTATTTCAATTACCATGACGACAATGAAATGGTTTATTTTGCTAATGCTATGTTTTATAGATCAATTCAGAAAGTTTAATAATAAGGCTAAACTAAGCTAGTTGTTTCCCGATATTACGTACAAGGTGTTTTATTAATAAAACCATGTTGAAAATCACCGGTACTTAGTATTTCATATGTGTCTAGTCATTATGTTTGGGTAGCAATGCCCTACTGTCGTTTCACTTGTTGTTTCATCATGTTTTAGGGAGACCTTTCCTTGCTCTTGCTAGTCTCGGACATCTTCGGCATCTGGAAATACTCGGTAGGATATGGATGTGTTCGGCAGGATGGAATTACCGACTTGGAGGAATTAATCTGTGCGGGCCACAGGGGATGATCAACCTTGGAGGATCAAGGAGTAACTGGAAGTCCCTCGGCCTTATGTGAGAAGCTTCATGTGTTTGGTGTGCGGAGGGACAGGATATTGGGTTGCAGTTGTATGGTAGATTTCTTCTATATAAACCCCCTCATTCAGCAGATAAAAAAAAAAAAAGGACAAGAAATACAAGCATAAGAAAATCCCAACTCTTTCCTCACATTACCTCCTCCTTCAAGTCACTCTAGCCAGATACCTTTACAATAAACTAGTGCCTTAAAATTTACCACTTGACCCCGGATCAAAGCCTGTTTTCAACTGCTTCACTCTTGCTGTTGGTTTCCTTGGTAATGATAAATTAATCCGATTATCTGCAGTTAGCTTCAATATTGTCTGCAACAAGGAATGGTCAGGATACAAATAGTATGAGGGGTAGACAGTGGAGTGCAGAACTTGCGACTTGTGTCACAGTTACAGTATTTAATATTCTCTTCCTTGAATCTACCATTTTCTGATCTCGAAGCCATAAATTAGGACAATAGGACAAAGAACATAACTGCGTTGATTCAGCTAGGGGCTGGATCAACCCACCCCCTCAGTAGATAATAAAGCTGCTTCTTACTTCACATTATGAAACTGGGTGCCAATGATCGAGAGTCGTCACACAGGCTCGAAATATTTGGCGTCTAATTTTTGATATCGGCATGCGGGTGACCGGGAGGTGGCGCGGGCCCCTCCTTTTGCTGAGGATAAAATTTGGCCCATGTCGACCTTCTCGACAGGCCAAGTTCTTTTCATCCAAATGCCAGTGAAGCAGGGATTGTTCTGACTCGACCCAACTCAACTACGGCTGGCATAAGCAGGCTGCTGTAAAAGCTGCCAACCCTGTGACTAGGGGCAAGCTCTGTTATAATCTGAACCAGAACCAAACCTGAGCCTATGTGCGCATTCTGTTAAGTATTGTCGGGTGTGAGAATGTGCCCTCTTTAATTTGTTTTCTTTTGTATAAACCCAGGGTTGTATTTTGTAAAGTTAGGTAGGTTTTGTCGGTTTGGATCGAGTTTGGTTGTGACTGGCCACTGCGGTGTGTTTTGGGCCCGGGTAATCTTTCTCCCTTCTTCCTCCACCCAATGAACCTACGACTGCGAGATGAGCGGTGGATAAACGAGACGGAGGCAGATGAAACGCAATGGGGGCTTTGTACCTGTGTGTGGGGATTTTAATTTGGTTGTTCTTTCTGTTCTTTAAATCGATTTGACTTGGGCCGACCTCTTTCGGAATTCTTTTACTTGCATGAAGGAGTCGATTGCCTGTGCCATTTGTACGTGAGTGAAATTTACACGCTTTGTGCGTTTGGTTTTCCGACTCCGATCTGTCTCTTTAGGTGTGATATCTGTTGTAAATCGCCGGTACTCTGACTAAGGTCAATTGAGGGATATTAGAGACACCCCCACAGCTAGCATTGATTTCTTATTTGTAATGCTTATGAGTTTGTTATTTGTCGAGCGGGGTAGGAGGTTCTAGACCACCTTGGTATGAAGCCAGCGTGGGGGGGAGGTCAAGCGAAATGGTAGTGCACGAGGAGATCATAGAAAGGATGATTGGTTATACAGAGCAGGGTAGGATAGAAGATGGAAGAAACACAAGGAGATAGTTAAAAGAGGGGTAAGAGCGGGGATAGTATGATCATGATTGGAGGACAAGCGGAATTTTCCTTCTATCTGCTGTGTATATAAAGGCATAAGGATACAGGAAGGAAGTAAGAGATATAAGGGCAGCAGACACGGGTAGCAAGCACGGCTACAGATAAGAAAGTACAAATATACGAAGAGCGATAAAAGACGAAAGCGAGACCAAGATACCTTCTGCGGGCGAGATACCAACTATATTACACAAATTTCAACAATATCTCCGTCTCGAATCGGAATATTAACAGTAATCGCAGGGTGAGAAAGAGGCCATGGTAGGGGAAAGGTTGTTGCAGTAGTTCAGGCTGCCCCTCTGCCCAGGAGCACACTGGGTGATTTCATCCTCTCAGGGTTAGCTAATTAGGTATGTTTCCGGATATATGTACATGCAAGGAGTGAGTTTCGGTATTTTTTAACCAAGAAAATCCACTTGGCATAGCTAACTACCAATTTTGCTTCTCCAATGTATGCAGGTGGGGCCGCCAGCCATCTTAAGATTTTTTCATTATCGCTTGTGGATAGCTCGCTAGTCTAGTTGAGTCCACGAAGAATGATCGATCCTGTGGATGGAAGGGGATAAAGAAAGAGATGAGAGGATCAACATTCGGGCCAGCACCCCCTCCATCAAGTTCTACATTCGTTTCTTCCACCCAGTTTGGACCGCCCTCACCACCCCCCACCACCACTGCTGCAACATGTTCCACCGCTACAACTACCTCCGCCTCTGCCACTATCACCTCCGCTGCAGGTGCCCAAGCGGCGAGCCGGCTGCGGGGCGCCCTTTCGGCTACCACGAAACTTTCCGTGACTCCGCCAGAGCGAGGCACCCTGGGGAGTTTTTCCATTAGATCTTGTGGGCCAGCATGCCCAGACACCTCAAGCCCATAATTTCATCCCAGTCATGGTTTACAATCCTGCCAATCATGTGCCATATGCTTAAACTAATAAGCCAGAAAGAATTCAGTTTTAAGAAATAAAACAGTCCAAAGTCTTTGCCTGGCTAGCGCTCAAAAAGCGCCGGCATGAATCGGCAAGGCAGCAAAACATATATATCAGTCTTTTGAATGTCCGGATACAAGTGGGTCAATTGAATTTCCCGGTAACTCTTGAGGAAAATCCCAAGCATTCTGTGGAGTGAAATTCTGTCTCATCGGTTCTTTGGCTTTGTTGCGGCATCACTAGTATAGTTAAAT